TAACTTACCCTTTGGAAGCAACCGAACTACAGGGAACTGATTTGCGCTGGAGTTTCCATAACTGCAAGCCCGCCTCATGTGTATTTATGACACTGAAAACTTAGCATAATAAAACACTTATTGATTATGGATGTGCCACTCAGCAGAATCAACAATGTGCCAAAGATAAATGAATGCCACATTTAAAATGTAAGGCATTAAGCACATAATGAGTTTTGCAAAATGGATTTCAATCCTGAAGAATATATAGAAGGAGAGCAGGAATTGCTATCTCTCTGTAGCCTTCCCTTCCGCTTCTTTGTTGCTTTTCATGACATAACTGGAGGGAGGGGGAACCACCCCTCTATTTCTATTTTAGGAATTCTACAAAGAAGGATAGTAGCTGTAACAGAGAACATGGGGGCACGCATATATATATATATATGCAGAGAACTCTTCTCAAGCACAATACAGGCAGTTCCTGGGTAAAAAATCAACTTATATCCCCATACCAAAAAAAGGGAAATGCTAAAGACTGCTCAAACCTTCGTACAGTGGCTCTTATTTATCATGCTAGTAAGATAATGCTCAAGACCCTGCAAGAAGGACTCCAGCAACAAATGGAGCGAGAGTTGCCAGATGTTCAAGCTGGGTTTAGAAAAGGCAGAGGAACGAGAGACCAGATTGCCAATCTCCGCTGGATAATGGAGAAAGGCAGGGAGTTTCAGAAAAACATCTATTTCTGCTTCATTGACTATTCTAAAGCCTTTGACTGTGTGGATCATAATAAATTGTGGCAAGTTCTTGGTGGGATGGGCATACCAAGCCACCTTGTCTCTCTCCTGAGGAATCTGTACAAGGACCAAGTCGCAACAGTAAGAACTAACCACGGAACATCAGACTGGTTCAAGATTGGCAAAGGCGTACGGCAAGGATGCATACTCTCACCCAACCTTTTAAACTTGTATGCAGAACACATCATGCGATGTGCGGGGCTTGATGAGCAAAGCTGGGGTGAAAATTGCTGGAAGAAACATTAACAACCTCAGATATGCAGATGACACCACTCTGATGGCCGAAAGCGAGGAGGAGCTGAGGAACCTTCTAATCAAGGTGAAAGAAGAAAGCGCAAAAGCTGGGTTGCAGCTAAACATAAAAAAACCAAGATTATGGCAACAAGAATGATTGACAACTGGAAAATAGAGGGAGAAAATGTGGAGGCCGTGACAGACTTTGTATTTCTAGGTGCAAAGATTACTGCAGATGCAGACTGTGGCCAGGAAATCAGAAGACGCTTACTTCATGGGAGGAGAGCAATGTCCAGTCTCGATAAAATAGTAAAGAGTAGAGACATCAGACTGGCAACAAAGATCCGCCTAGTCAAAGCCATGGTATTCCCTGTAGTAACCTACGGATGTGAGAGCTGGACCTTAGGGAAGGCTGAGCGAAGGAAGATAGATGCTTTTGAACTGTGGTGCTGGAGGAAAGTTCTGAGAGTGCCTTGGACTGCGAGAAGATCCAACCAGTCCATCCTCCAGGAAATAAAGCCCGACTCTGCTCATTGGAGGGAAGGAGAGACATCTAATCACTTTGGCCACATCATGAGGAGACAGGAAAGCCTAGAGAAGACAATTATGCTGGGGAAAGTGGAAGGCAAAAGGAAGAGGGGCCGACCAAGGGCAAGATGGATGGATGGCATCCTTGAAGTGACTGGACTGACCTTGAAGGAGCTGGGGGTGGTGACGGCCGACAGGGAGCTCTGGCGTGGGCTGGTCCATGAGGTCACGTAGAGTCTGAGACGACTGAACGAATGAACAACAGGCTCTGTAGCTTTGGATCTTAAACTGAATTTGTATGTAAGTCGGAATAGGTACATTTTAAAAGTGTAACTCCAGCTAATACACACACACACACATCTCATCCAGAGTTTTATCACTTTATGTCGTGCATTTGGCCCGCCCACTGTTTTTTATTTTCCATTATGTTATTTTGTATGGTTTATTTTACTTGATTGGTTTATTTATTTTATTGCGATGTTATTTTGTTGTTTATATTTTATTTTGTTGTAATGTATCGCTGGGCTTGGCCTCATGTAAGCTGCTCTGAGTCCCCTTTGGGGAGATGGTGGTGGGGTATAAATAAAGATTATTATTATTATTATTATTATTATTATTATTATTATTATTATTAGTGCGGTGCGTGTAGTGCGGAGAAGATCAAACCACAGATCACCTACTACTATGCAACCTGAGGCCTGCCACATGTACAATGGAGGACCTTCTCACAAGACATCAGGGGCACTCCCAGTGACCAGCTTCTGGTCAAAGGACATTTAGCATAATGCCAAGTTTTTAACTTTGTTTGTGTTTTTAAATACATTATAATTGTACCCTCAATTTGTTTCTGGCACAATAAATAAATAGTTTAATAACAGATTAAGGTCTACAACTGTATGCAGGACAATAATCCTAAACTAGATGGGAATTCCAGATTTCCAAAAATGAGATATGCAGCAGAAGGGAAAAGAAGGATATCCAGAGCCATATCCTGTGTCCAGTGCTTAACCATTCCCTTCTGCCAATCTTTTCCTCTTTGCAGCTGCTTTCTAAACCACAATTTATGGAAGAGCTGCATTGGAAAACTGGAACTGAGGAAATATTTATTTATTTATGGCATTTATATGCTGCTCTTCTCACCCGAAGGGGACTCAGAGCAGCTTACAATATATATTTTCATACTATATATTATATTACTAGCATAGTACAATATCAGTATTAGGCTCTGCTCTAAGGAGCAGGTTGGAGAGAAGCCGTTATGCTGCTCTAAAGGAGGCTATGGTGGAATAGCCGTTTGCTTAAGGTTTATGTTTTGCTTTCACATTAGACTTAACATGAAGATGCCTTATTTTGTGTTACTTACAAAGACTATGTAAGTTTCTTGAACTGTTTGTTTTTTGTATGCAACATTGCAAGTTTGTGTTTCATCTCTGCTATTAAGAGTAAAGATTTTTCTGTTCATTTCTACTCTTGTCTGTGTGCCTTGTGCATGGGACAGGGCTAAGATCTGCTTGCTGCGCAACAAAATCCTCCTAGGTTATTATCTAGCTTCTGCTGGACCAAGAGATTCAGCCACTTGAGCAGTCATGGGTCAGTGCTATGGAATCCACTTTAACTGCCATTCCTCCGTGCTATAGAACTAGTTTTGCAAGGTCTTTAGGCTTTTCTGCCAAAGAGTCTTACCAAACTACAACTCCCAGGATTCCACAGCATTGAGCTATGTAGATGTACCCCAAGTCAGGTAATTTTGCTTAGAGCAGCGGTCCTCAAACTTTTTAAACAGAGGGCCAAGTCACAGTCCCTCAGACTGTTGGAGGGCCGGATTATAATTTGAAAAAAAAACCATGACTGAATTCCTATGCACTCTGCACATATCTTATTTGTAGTGCAGAAACACTTAAAACAATACAATAATTAAAATGAAGAACAATTATAACAAATATAAACTTATTAGAATTTCAGTGGGAAGTGTGGGCCTCATTTTGGCTGATGAGATAGGACTGTTGTTATTGTGTGTGCTTTCAAGTCGTTTCAGACTTAGGTTGACCCTGAGCGAGGGCCGGGTAAATGACCTTGGAGGGCTGTATTCGGCTCCTGGGTCGTAGTTTGAGGACCCTTGGCCTAGAGTAGTGTTTCTCAACCTTCCTAATGCCGCAACCCCTTTATACAGTTCCTCACGTGGTGGTGGCCCCCAACCATAACATTATTTTCGTTGCTACTTCATAACTGTAATTTTGCTACTGTTATGAATTGTCATGTAAATAGCTGATGTGCAGGATGTATTCTCAGTCACTGGAGCAAATTTGGCACAAATACCCAATACTCCCAGATTTGAATACTGGTGGGGATGGAGGGTTTTTTTTGTTTTTGTTTTTTTGTCACTTGAGAGTTGTAGTTGCTGGGATTGATAGTTCCCCTAAAATCAGAGAGCATTCCGAACCCCACCAATGATGGAATTGAATCAATCATGGCACACAGAACTCCCATGACCAAGAGAAAACACTGGAAGGGTTTCATGGGCATTGACCTTGAGTTTTGGAGTTGTAGTTCACCTACATCCAAAAAGCACTGTGGACTCAAACAATGATGGACCTGGACCAAACTTGGCATGAAACTTGGCATGAATACAAATGTGAACACTGGGGGAGTTTGTGGGAAAATAGACTTGACATTTGAGAGTTGTAGTTGCTGGGATTTATAGTTCACCTACAATCACAGAGCATTCTAAACCCAGCCCACAATGGATCTGCACAAAACTTGGCACACAGAACTCCCATGACCGACAGAAAATACTGGAAAGGTTTGGTGGGCACTGACCTTGACTTTTGGAGTTGTAGTTCACCTACATCTAGAGAGTACTGTGGACTCAAACAATGATGGGTCTGGACCACAAATATTCAATATGCCCAAATGTGAACACTGGGGGAGTTTGGGGGAAATAGACCTTGATATTTGGGAGTTGTCATTGCTGGGATTTGTAGTTTTCCGAACCCCACCAACGATCGAATTGGGCCAAACTTCCCACACGGAACCCCCATGACCAACAGAAAATACTGTGCTTTCTGATGGTCTTTGGTGACTCCTCTGACACCCCCTCGCGACCCCTCCGGGGGTCCCGACCCCCAGGTTGAGAAACACTGGCCTAGAGTAATCTGCTTGGGTCTTTAGCAATAGATTTCCCCTTCTCTCCTCGAGTCAGGCTGATCATTACTAGATTAGCCTAGGATCATACCTGTTCTGTTCATTTCTCTTTGCTCAGGGTTAAAAGGGAGGAAAAGATACATGATCACCGTGAGACATTTTGTAGTAAAGGATTTTCTGACTAAACCCATTTCTCCATCAACAGTTTTTTAGCCTGATTTCCGGCCCACTGCTGTGCTAACGCTGCAACCTGGGGACTGAAATGGCTCGGCCAAGGCTGCAGAGAGGGGACAAAGTGGTGGGGAATAATGCAGTTGTACTTACTTGTTGACTAGCAGAAAGTTCCCAATCAAGCAGAGGACCGAGGGCACAGTGGAAGCCACGGAAATGTAACTTTCAAAGAAGTCCTGGGAGGAAAATAATAAATGTCAGTTTTCTTTTTTTTTAAGACTGTAGAAGAGAACAAGGACATCGTATGACCTGTTCCTAACATAAATCACAGGCACAGAGACCTAAGGTCAAGGCTTCATGGCACTAGACAGCTCACAGAACTGAAGACTTGACAAAAGGATTAAACAGCACCTGTTTACTTAGCTGAGGAACATATTGTCCACCTCGAGATAATCTTAAAGTGTTATTGGCCTCTCTGGAATGTGCTTTGCATAGTGAACATTTCTCAGTTGTGGTCTTAGGAAACAAGAACTGTGGATCACCCAATGCAATCAGCAGAAAACATCAAATATTGCATTTATTTAGCTTGTGGCTCTCAGTGTTCATATAGAAGAACTGTTGGTAATAAAGAGCTTGTCTGCTTTTACCCTTAAGTCCTTTCTTAGACTCATAGAATCATAGAGTTGGAAGAGACCTCATGGGCCATCCAGTCCAATCCCCTGCCAAGAAACAGGAAAATTACATTCAAAGCAAACACGACAGATGGCCATCCAGCCTCTGTTTAAAAGCTTCCAAAGAAGGAGCCTCCACCACACTCCGAGGCAGAGAGTTCCACTGCTCAACAGCTCTCACAGTCAGGAAGTTCTTCCTCATGTTCAGATGGAATCTCCTTTTTTGTAGTTTGAAGCCATTATTTCGCGTCCTAGTCTCCAGGGCAGCAGAAAACAAGCTTGCCCCCTCCTCCCTATGACTTCCTCTCACGTATTTATACATGGCTATCATGTCTTCTCTCAGCCTTCTCTTCTTCAGGCTAAACATGCCCAGCTCCTCATAGGGCTTGTTCTCCAGACCCTTGATCATTTTAGTCGCCCTCCTCTGGATACATTCCAGCTTGTCAATATCTCTCTTCAATTGTGGTGCCCAGAATCAGACACAATATTGCAGGTGTGGTCTAACCAAGGCAGAATAGAGGGGTGGCATGACTTCCCTGGATCTAGACACTAGACTCCTATTGATGAGGCCAAAATCCCATTGGCTTTTTTGCCACTGCATCACATTGTTGGCTCATGTTTAACTTGTTGTCCACAAGGACCTCAAGATCTTTTTCACACATACTGCTCTCAAGCCAGGCGTCCCCCATTCTGTATCTTTGCATTTCATTTTTTTCTGCCAAAGTGGAGTATCTTGCATTTGTCACTGTTGAACTTCATTTTGTTAGTTTTGGCCCATCTCTCTAATCTGTCAAGATCGTTTTGAATTCTGCTCCTGTCCTCTGGAGTATTGGCTATCCCTCCCAATTTGGTGTCGTCTGCAAACTTGATGATCATGCCTTATTCTAACTCTTCGTCTAACTCTAAGCCATTAATAAAGATCCTGAACAGGACTGGGCACAGGACAGAACCCTGCGGCACTCCACTCGTCACTTCTTTACAGGATGAAGAGGAAGCATTGGGGAGAATCACCCTCTGGGTTCGTCCATTTAACCAATTACAGATCCACCTCACCGTAGTTTTGCCTAGCCCACATTGGACTAGTTTGTTTGCCAGAAGGTCATGGGGGACCTTGTCGAAGGCCTTACTGAAATCCAGGTACGCTACATCCACGGCATTCCCCGCATCTACCCAGCTTGTAACTCTATCGAAAAAAGAGATCAGATAAGTCTGGCATGACTTGTTTCTTGCAAGGTTTCTGTCGCTGCTGAATTTCAGTGGTGTAGGGTTGTTATTTTACATATTTTCCCAAAAAACACATCATTGCAAAAAAGCAAGGCACATGATTTTGAAGTGAATTATACTTTCCAAAGTGGGTGTTCCTCACATGCCTTATTTGGCCAAGAAAATGCTTCCCTGAAAAACCAAATCTGGTTCCTCTCACTGTCATTTCTGGTTGTCTCACACTACAGAATTTTGGCAGGTTGCAGCTTTGGCTATAGCTCAGGGCAAGAGATTGAAAAAGTTGAAACGAGTCTATCTAAATTTGCCAGTTCTTAATTGCAAATTATATAAAGCAGAGATAGGTATTTTAATAAAAGTTAATATATCAATAAGCTTTTAAAATCCAACTATATTAATAGCATTATATTTACATTAGAAAAAAATAACCATTAATAATGTATGTTACATTGCCATTCAAAAGTTCCTTATTCGGATAAGGAGAGGAAATACCAGTGGTAATTTACCAACTCTTGCCCTGTCCCCAACTTGAAGTTTGGAGAAAAGGAAATAATTGCATGGATTCTTGAGGGAAAAATCCTATCCATCCCAGCAAATCCTCGTTGTAATTCTTCTTCTTCTTCTTCTTCTTCTTCTTCTTCTTCTTCTTTGTATTATTATTATTATTATTATTATTATTATTATTATTAATCTTTCCCTTTCTCAATCCCTTGTAACAGGCACATATAAAGCCCTAAATGGTTCTGGCCCAATTTACCTGTCCGAACTCATCTCCCCTTATGAACCATCTAGGACCTTAAGATCGTCTGGGGAGGTCCTGTTCTCAATCCCGCCATCATCACAAGTGTGGTTGGCAAGGACGAGAGACAGGGCCTTCTCCGTGGTGGCTCCTCAGCTATGGAACGCCCTCCCTAGGGATATTAGATTGGCCCCTCTCTCTTAACATTTCGGAGAAAAGTTAAAACATGGTTGTTTGAGCGTTTACAAATGCATAGTAACTGACAGGAAACTGAATGACTAGACAACAGAATTGGACAACGTTTTTTAACAAGGAGACGCTAATGTTGTTGATTTTTATTGCTTCTGTTGTGTTTTTATATGATTTTAATGGTTTAATTTGTATTATGATATTATGTGTACTGACTTGTTGTAACTGTTGTTAATTTTACCCATCTGTGTGCCCAAGCAACTGGTTGTTCTTTGTTCTTAATTCTCATCGCCTGTATACCTTGAGGTTGAAACACACTGGCACTTCTTATAGCTCTTTATCCTTGTTTTTAGCCCACATGTATTTAGCAGCTTTTACTATTTGCAAATTTATCCACTGGATGTTCTTAATCTCATTACCTGTACAACTTGTATGCTACAGTGTAATAAGGGTCTCCGAACCAAAATAAATTTTATCTATCTATATTGTTGTAAACCACCTTGAGTTGCCGACAGGCTGAGAAAGGCGGTATACAAATACAAATACAAATACAATAAATAAATAAATAAATAAATAAATAAATAAAAATAACGTCATATTAACATCACCCTTTCTGCAGCTTGCCGATTCCTATTCAGATCTTATGTGAAATCCCAAGAATAAAAAAAATCCAGTTTTCTCTGACAGATAAAGAATCTCTAAGCAGTTACCAATGTAAAATACAGTCAAACCACCAGGATCCAAAAAAGACCATTCCCCTCCTGAACAATTCTTCCCACTTGTTGGTTTAAAACATTTTAACAATTGAATCACCAATACTATATACTTGAAATCTACAGTTTTTTTAAACAATATTTTATTGTTTATTACATAGAGATAACATAAAGCAAAGAGAACATTATATATACAATATTTAAACTAATGAAAATAGTAAGATAAAAAAGAAAAAGAAAAAGAAGAGAGAGAAAAAGAGAAAAAAAATAAGAAAAACCTTTTATCCCTGTATACTCTAAATAAAATAAAGTTTTTCCTCAATTGTGCAGCCATAAGTCCTACAGTTATTTGCTACATATTTATTAAAAAGCCACCTGGGAAATATGAAGTCTGCTGGGTCTTTAGCATATGGTCTCATATAATTAATTAATAATTTATTTGTGGAACCAAGTTAACACGTAATGCAGGGTCCTCAAACTTTGTAAACTAAAGGCCAGGTCACAGTCCCTCAAACTGGTGGAGGGCCAGATTATAATTTGAAAAAAACATGAATTAATTGCTATGCACACTGCACATACCTTATTTGTAGTGCAAAAAACACTTAAAACAATACAATACTTAAAATGAAGAACAAATTTGACAAATATAAACTTATTAGTATTTCAATGGGAAGTGTAGGCCTGCTTTTGGCTGATGAGATAGGATTGTTGTTGTTGTATGCTTTCAGGTCATTTCGGACTTAGGTTGACCCTTAGAGATAAATAACCTTGGAGGGCCGTATCTGGCCTTAGTTTGAGTACCCCTGATGTAATGGCTAAATTAAATTGGTAAACTTAAACTTTAACTTGAGTTATATGAGCCCACAATGCTACAGAATTTCTAACTTTATTGCGATGTTAATTTTTGCTGATATGAAACTATGTCTGATCACCCCCCTTAACAGCTAGTTTGATTTATTTGTAGTTATAGTTGGCAGCTTCCATGTCAGCAGGGCAGTAAATCCAATCTGGGTTTTAATATAAACTTTAAGTGAACTTTCTCGGCGCTCAATATACTTAGCAGCTATACTTGGATAGCTCTTTAACCCAGGATGAATTGACCCCAAATAGTTTATGCAGTTAGACTCTACTTCACCTGCTATGGCTCAATGTACTGGAATCATGGGAGCTGTAGTTTTGCAACATCTTTAGCTTTCTGTGTCAAAGCATGCTGGTGACTTATCAAACTACAACTTCTAGGATTCCACAGCATTGAGCCATGGTAGTTAAAGGGCTGTCAAACTGCTTTAAAACGACAGTGTAAATACAGTCCCAAGGTAGATTTATCGCAATACTGACATCATATCCTCACATGCTTCTGGATGACATTTTGGCACACTGCTGGCCTGTTTGTGAAAGTTTCCCTGTCTCTGGTTAACTGAAGAGACAAAGAAACTTCCCCAGAACAAAACAGGCTGTTTCTCTTTTTTTCCTGGCCTTTAGTGTCTCACAAATTATTAACCCAGCATGTGTGAGTTTATGACCAGCCTGTAAACTCTTTTATGTGCTAGTAACTAGTGTAGATATATTTGCAGGAAATGATTAACCATCCCTGCAAATTAAGGCTGTCTTGTGCTTCTTGTTGCTTAATTCTCTCAAACTTCCCCCTTTACATAAGAATAACATGGGTACAGTGAACCCCAATCCAAACTTGTGTGTACAAG